TTGCTTTTTTTTTTTTTTTGCCAGTCCTGGGGTTTGCACTCAGAGCCTGGGCAGTGTCCCTGAGCTTCTTTTTGTGTCCCTGAGCTTCTTTTTTGCTCCAGGTTAGCACTCCACCACTTGAGCCACAGCACCACTTCTGGCTTTTTCTGTGTATGTGGTACTGAGGAATTGAACCCTGGGCTTCATGCATGTTAGGCAAGCCCTCTACCACTAAGCCACATTCTATCTGACCCCTGTGGGAATCTTCTTAAGTCTGAGATCAGGAGCTGTGAAGACTGAAGGGCAAGGCTGAGAAGTTGGGGTGATTAGAATAGATCATTATTTACTATGTTGCCCATTCGAGGCCAGCCTGGCCTTGGACTTTCAATCTTCCTGTCTCAGTTTCCCTTAGTGCTGAGATTTCAGGTGTCTACTAGCACATCTGGCTCATATATGTGTATGTGTGTGTATGTGTGTGTGTGTGTGTATACACACACATCTACGCCATGTATCATTTTGATAGAATTTTGGTAAATATGTTACTCATGCAAAATTTCTATTGAAATAGACATCTTTATTTCTACTGATATGAAAAGATATTCATTTTATCGAAATGGGAGATATAAGGTTTCTTATCCTAAGTTTTTTTTCCTGCTTTTTTAAAAAACAAGTTTTAAGAGAAAACATATTTGTGCCAAGTGCCCATAGCTCACGCTGGTGCTACTAGCTACTTAGGAGGCTGGGATATAAGGATTGCAGGTCAAAGACAGTCTAGGTAGGAAAGTCCATGAAACTCTTATCTCCAATTAACTACCAAAAAGCTGGAAATGAAATTGTGGCTCAAGTGGTAGAGTGCTAGGCTTGAGCAAAAAAGTCTCAGGGATAGTGCTTAAGCCCTGAAGTTAAGCCTGAGGACTAGAACAAAAGACAAAACAAAAAAATAAATTCTCTATGATTTTGAAGAATGTGGTTGTACATAACACATCTGACAGTTCCACCCAGGCTATGATGTGTGTTGGCAACTGTCTCTACTCACATACCCACTGCATAAAGCTAAGGCTCACACCTCCCTTTCTGTGCAGTACCTTCATGAAAATGGCATTATACACCGAGACTTAAAGCCAGAGAATGTTCTACTGTCGTCTCAAGAAGAGCACTGTATTATCAAGGTAGGAAATTTATGTTCTTTTTGGTGCTGGTCCTGGTGCTTAAAATCAGGGACTGGGTGCTGTCTGTGAGTTTTTTGTTCAAGACCAGCACTCTACCACTTGAGTCACAGTTCCATTTCCTGCTTTTTGGAGATGATGGACTTTCCTGCATAGGCTGTCTTGGAAGCTCCATCCTTAGATCTCAGCCTCCTGAGTAGTTAGGATGACAGGTGTGAACCACTGGTACCCAGCTAGAAGGAATATTCTTTGTCAGGTTATAAAGAATAGTGGTAACTTGGAAAACCCAAGTCTTTAGACTCCTAGGCTCAGAGATTTTATTTTATTTTATTTTTTTTATTGTGAAAATACTGTACAGAGGGGTTACAATTACATGGGCAAGATAGTGAGTACATTTCTTTTTTTTTTAAATTTATTTTATTTTATTTGTGAAGATATGAGTACATTTCTTATCAAGCATTGTAGCCTCCTCCTTTGTTTACTCTTCCCATCCCTTCCCATCCCCCCTCCCTCTCACCCTAGCCCCCCCACCAAGTTGTAAAGTTCGTTTTTGACATGACAACTTGTACTTCTCATTGTTGCAATAGGTCCACCTGTAACCTTATTTAAACGACTTGTCTTTCCCCTTCCCCTCCACAAATTATACCAACATCAAATACAGTGAAAGCAGGGGTTATACTGTGGGGGAGGGACATACAAAGCAACAAAGAAATAATTTTATAATTGCATTAGAAACAAATGCATGAAAGAAAAAAAACATTTAAAATACATATCTTAGGGTTCATTTTCCTAACATCACCTAATCTGACCTTTTCTGCTTGACTCATAAATATACTAGAAATTATATTAAGTGAAGTAAGCCAAGCCCAAAGAAACATAGGTCCCATGATTTCCCTTATTTGCAATATCTAGAGATTTTATTTTTTATTTTATTTTTGTCAATTGTGGGGTGTAAACTCTGGGCCTGCCTGCTGTCCCTCAGCTCTTCAGCTGTATCACTTGAGCCATAGCACCACTTCCAGATTTCTGGTAGTTAATTGGATATAAGAGTCTCACTCAGGAGGCTGAGATCTGAGGATCGCGGTTCAAAGCCAGTCCGGGCAGGAGAGACCGTGAGACTCCTATCTCCAATAAACCACCAGAAAACCGGAAGTGGCGCTGTAGCTCAAGTGGTAGAGCGCTCGCCTTGAGCTGAAGAGCTGAGGACAGCGCCCAGGCCCAGAGTTCAAGCCCCACGACCTACAAAAAAAAAAAAAAAGAGTCTCACGGACTTGCCTGCCCGGGCTGGCTTTGAATTGTGATCCTTAGATCTCAGCCTCCTGAATGGCTAGGATTACAGGTGTGAGCCACCTGTGCCTAGCTCAGAGATTTTATTTTATGTAACATTGACTTGTGATGACATTAATTTGTAGATTTCAGGCTAACTTGTATATGTGAACCAGGAAATCTACCTAGCTTGCGTATCTTTTGGGACTGGGCCACTCTGCTCATGTTTTCATTTTATGATGTTGTAATTTTAGATTACTGATTTTGGGCAGTCCAAGATTTTGGGAGAGACCTCTCTGATGAGAACTTTATGTGGTACCCCTACCTATCTGGCTCCTGAGGTTCTTCTTTCCGTTGGCACCACTGGGTATAACCGTGCTGTGGATTGCTGGAGTTTAGGAGTTATTCTTTTTGTCTGGTAAGAAAAGTTTTAGATTGTTTCACAGTCTGGTTGGATGTGATGAGTTGAAAACAATGAACATGTTCAGGTGGAGAGTTTGTGTTTGATGTTAGGTCGCTTTGTGATCCTCAATTTAAAGAAAAAAATCTGATAATCATTATGCTTAAAAAGAAATCTATATATCTGAATGCCACTGAGAATGTCACTTGATTTCTTTTCCTTTCTCTCTCTACCAATATTAAGCCTTAGTGGGTATCCACCTTTCTCTGAGCATAAGACTCAAGTGTCACTGAAGGATCAGATCACCAGTGGAAAATACACCTTCATTCCCGAAGTCTGGGCAGATGTCTCAGAGAAGGGTATGGATACAGAAGGGTTAAGAATTTATGGTTTACTAAAATGTGGGTGTTCTGTTGGTGGGAGTTTCTTTTCAAACCCTGGTGTTTTCTCCTGTCCATTTTGTTCTTAGTTTTTATTGTTACTTTTTGCACCATTTGAGAGATAGAGGAAATTATTTAAGAGTGTGGTCCAGAAGTCCTGGGTCTGCTCTTTCCAAGCTGGGTGACCTTTAGCAAGTTATTTAGCATCTCTTTTCTTCATTTCCAAAGAGGGCCACAATAGCTCCTACCTTAAAGGGTTTTTGTGAGGATTGAGTGTCATGCCCTCAGGTAACTCAAACGTATCAGATGTATAAAATATTATAGTTTTTAGTGTAGCCTTTCCTTTGAGTGAGCAGTATGTAACACTTGGTTGTTTTTAGTTACCTTGTATTTTATAATTTAATAGTGCAACCTTGGCTGGGGTCCCAGTGGCCCACACCTGTAATCATAACTACTAAGGGGGCTGAGATTTCAGGATTGCCATTCAGAGCCAGCCTGGGTAGGAAAGTCTGAGACTCTTACCTCCAGTGAACTATCAAAAAGCCAGAAGAGGAGCTGTGCCTCAAGTGGTAGAGCATCACTCTTGAGCAGATAAAGCTAAGGGATAGCACTAAGGCCATTAGTTCAAGTCCAGTATAACACACACACACACACACACACACACACACGCATACATGCACGCACGCACATGCGCAACAACCTTATAACACTCTAAAGATGATTCAGACTAAATATCCAATCCTAAGTGCCACATTCTATTCCATGTCATTGTGTTGAAAAATAATAATGTTCCAGTGTCCAAGCTACCCTACAGTTGCTGCTTGCTTGCTGGGGCAAGCCTGCAGTGCCAGGGAACTCTTTCTGGGAAGGGCTTCATAGATGTCCGGGAGAGTTTGTTGTGCATTGAGTCCTCAGAACAAAGTGAAATTCAGCTTTTAATTAGTTTTCACTTGATTCTAGCAGCCTGATGGGAATCGGGGAGCTAAGAGGTTGTGATATCCAGCAGAGAGAGATGGGGAGTGTTATTGTCACTCCTGAATACGGATAGTCAGGAGGATTGGGGCTCTGGCCATGGAGTCTACTGACTACAGGATAGTAATCTTGAATCTTGTTGATGGAGTGTTTATATTCTTTTCACTCTGTTTTGCCCATTTTCTTTTTACTTTAGCTCTGGACCTTGTCAAGAAGTTGTTGGTTGTTGATCCAAAGGCACGGTTGACCACAGAAGAAGCCTTAAATCACCCATGGCTTCAGGTGGGTATTGGACAATGTGCCCACTGGTTTAAAACTGTCTGGGCAAGTTGAGGAAGGGTCTGTCACCTTGACATTGTTGAGTTTGTGTGTGTGTGTGTGTGTGTGTGTGTGTGTGTGTATGTATGTGGCCAGCCTTCAACCTTTTCCACCATTACTGTGGTTTTCTGATGGACAACCTCATGTCATGGTCACGGTCTCTCTGTCTGTCTCTGTCTGTCTGTCTGTCTGTGTCTCTCTCTCTCTCTTTTTGTGGGTCGTGGGGATTGAACTCTGGGCCTGGGCACTATCCCTGAATTCTTTAGCTCAAGGTGAGCACTCTACCACTTGAGCCACAGCGTCACTTCTGGTGGTTCATTGGAGATGAGTCTCATGGACTTTCCTTCCTGGGCTAGCTTTGAACCACAATCCTCAGATCTCAATCTCCTGAATAGCTAGGATTACAGGCAGGAGCCACTGTTGCCCAACTTGTCACAGTCTCTTGATCCTCTTGCTGCCCACAATCTAAAGGGATTTTTTTTGGGGGGGGGGTCAGTTGTAGAGCTTGAACTCTGGGTCTGGGCACTGTCACTGAGCTCTTCAGCTCAAGGCCAGTACTCTACCGCTTGAGCCACAGCTCCACTTCACCAGTTTTCTGGTGGTTAATGGGTAATAAGAGTCTCACGGACTTCCCTGCCCGAGCTAGCTTTGAACTGTGATCCTTAGATCTCAGCCTCCTGAGTAGCTAGGATGATAGGTGTGAGCCACCGGTACCCACTGCAGGGATTCTTTTTTTTTTTTTTTTTGCCATGCCACAAGGTATGTTTTATTTTCATTATGCAGGCTGGTGGCTTGTGTCCATTTTTTAGGTGGCTCTTCCTCCACATCATGAGGTGACTCTGAGATGACCTGGGGCGAGAGGAGAGAGGGAAGGGGGGTGTTGGTGGCGGGGGGACCCTCTAGATTCTTAGGAAATTTCACTCTGTTTTTCCTGTTTAATGGTCTCTTTGGTTGGCAGGGTGTTCTCCTGTGTCTTGGTTTTCTTCAGCTTGGCCTTATCGAATCTGGCGATTTCCCCATGTCGGGCTCGTCTGCCATTTTCTTATAACAGTTCGCAGTGACTCGCTCCGAACACGAGGTCTGGTGCTTCCACTCATGTTGCAGCAGCAATAGACTTGCAGAGATCTTTTTTTGGGGGGGGTGGTCTGGTCGTGGGGCCTGAACTCTGGGCCTGGACGCTGTCCCTCAGCTCTTCAGCTCAAGGCTAGTGCTCTACCATTAGAGCCACAGCGCCACTTCCGGCTTTTTTCTTTTTGCTTATGTGGTGCTGAGGAATCGAACCCAGGTCCTCATGCATGCAAGGCAAGCACTCTACCACTGAGCCACCTTCCCAGCCCCCCTGCAGAGATCTTTTGAGAGTTCTTTCTTCATCCCCCAGCTCAGGGCTTTCCTGTCTTCATGATCCCCTTTTAACAGGTGGGGTAGGCCGGGCTGGGCTGCATTTCAGCCATCTTCAACTTTAAACAAAGGAAGCTGAGGCAGGGGCATGTGGAAGAGGGCAGCTTAGCCTCCCTGGGAAGAACTAAGTCCCAGTGAGTAGGTATAAAGGGCCCATTTCTTGTTCTTGGGGCATAAGAATGCCATTAGTGCAGGCTTGATACCTGTGCTTTCCAAGTCTGCATTACCTCTGTGTTCCTCCTGGGAACTGTGGCTGACTGATGGTATACTGACTTTATTCAGAGCTGCTGGAGTGGGAAATCTTTTGTTGCTCTGTGAGGTTCATCTTTGGCTGTGGCATTAGCTACATTATCAGAGAACTTTTTCTGATGGATGTTTATCTTCTGTTCTGCATGGCATGGTCCTCTCTGAACATCTTATGGTCTTTCTGTTTCTGATTGGGGGTGGGAGACTTAGGTACCTGGAGACAGAGGTTGTTACTTGGGATTACAGGTACAGATATCCCTTGTGCAGTTTCATCTCACCTCTGTGCCACTGATAGTATGGGAAGAATGTCCTCATTCTCTCTTCCAGCCCTACATACCTAATAGCTTTTACTCAGACTAGCTCATGTTGAGAACTTCATCAAATCCTTAACAGAAAAACAAAACAAAACAAAAACCAGAAGAAAATGGGGTGTGGAGGGGCAGATATATGTGTTTTGGCTGTTGCTGTGGAAACAGCAGTCTCCCCCTGAAGAAATCTGTCATATTGATTTAGCATTCAATAGACCACATAGATCTGAAACAGCAGGACCTTAGAGAAAATGAGTTTGGAATAAAGGGTGCCTTTGCGTGTGGGGATTTAATGTCATTGATGAAAAAAGAAACACTCCTCCTGGCTCTTTTTATGCGTCCTAATTGGAAAACTCTTGGGGTCCAACATGTAGAGATTGAGGAGCTGAGTTAGCTTTGAAAATGAAAACAACCACCACCACCAGGAGCTGGCCAGTTAAGTCTGGGAACAAGGTTTGTATTTGCCTGAAATTTATGAGCCAGCCTTAGCCTATGTTTCTTGTACTTTGTCTCTTGAGAGAGGATTTATTCACAACCATGGAAAAGTGACGTTCAACTATGCCACAGGGGTTCTGTATGAACACCCTTTTGTTCATGTTTTGTTTTCACAGGCACAGCAAAACTGAGTGGGGATGAGGATGCAGATCTGAAACATCTGTTGGTGATGGTTAGGTTTTATTTTGGGAAACTTCTGTGTTTTTAAGAAACCTAGTGGGGCTGGGAAGGTGACTCAGTGGTAGAGCGCTTGCCTTGCATACCTGAGGCCCTGGGTTCGATTCTTCAGCACCACATAAGCAAAAAGAAAAAAGCTGGAAGTGGCGCTGTGGCTCAAGTGGTAGAGTGCTAGCCTTG